TGATCACTCCAACATAGAGATAAGAGAGCAAATACAGGTAGCAAAAGATTACTTCAAGAGAGAGATAGAGACTCTGGAAAAAAAAAACAACAGTCAGAAATCCTTGAAATGAAGGATACAATAAATCAAATAAAAAACTCAATAGAAAGCACAACCAACAGACTAGATCACTTGGAAGAAAGAACGTCAGATAATGAAGACAAAGTATACAATACAAAAAATAAAGTTGATCACACAGTGAAGATAGTAAGAAACCATGAACAGAACATCCAAGAATGATGGGACAGCATCAAAAACCCAAATCTAAGAGTTATTGGGATAGAGGAAGGCACAGAGTTTCAAACCAAAGGAATGTACAATCTTTTCAATGAAATAATATCAGAAATTTCCCAAGCATGAAGAACGAATTGGAAAACCAAATACTAGAGGCTTATAAGACACCAAATGTACAAAATTACAACAGATCTTCACCAAGGCACATTATAATGAAAATGCCTAGCATACAGCATAAGGAGAGAATCTTAAAAGACGCAAAAGAGAGGAATCAGATCACATATAGGGGAGGATCAATTCGTATCTCAGCAGATTTTTCAACCTAGACCCTCAAAGCCAGGAGATTGTGGAACAACATATACCAAGCTCTGAACGAAAATGGATGCCAACCAAGAATCTTACATCCAGCAAAACTAAGCTTTAGATTTGATGATGAAATAAAAACCTTCCATGATAAACAAAAGTTAGAAGAATTTACAATTAGAAAGCTGGCACTACAGAACATCCTCAGTAAAATATTACAAGAAGAGGAAATGAAAAACAACAATGAAAATCAGTAGAGGGAGGGATTACACTAAAGAAAATCTAACCAGAGGAGAAACGAAGTCACATTAAATAAGAAAAATAAATAAAAATGGCTGGGAATACAAATCATGTCTCAATAAGAACCCTGAATGTTAAAGTCCTAAACTCACCAATCAAAAGACATAGATTAGCAGATTGGATCAAAAAAAAAAAAAGACCCAACAATACGCTACCTCCAAGAGACTGATCTCATAGAAAAAGACATTCACAGACTGAAGGTAAAGAGTTGGGTAAAATCATACCACTCAACATGGACTGCAGAAGGAAGCAGGGCTTTCCATCCTTATATTAAATAAAGCCGACTTCAAACTAAAGTCAATCAAAAAGGATAAAGAAGGACACTATATACTGCTCCAAGGAACCATAGACCAACAAGACTTAACAATTATAAATATATATATACCCAAAACAATGGAGCATCTATGTTCATCAAACAAACTCTTCTCAAGTTCAAGAGTCAAATAGACCACAACACAATAATTTTGGGTGATTTTAACACACCTCTTTCATCACTAGATAGATCTTCCAAACAAAAGCTGAACAAAGAAACTACAGAACTCAATAATTAACAATCAATAACTTAGATTTAACTGACATATATAGACTATTTCATCCTTCAACGAGAGAATACACTTTCTTCTCAGTGGCACATGGATCCTTCTCTAAAATAGACCATATAATATGCCGCAAAGCAACTCTTAGCAAATATAAAAAAGTAGAGATACTACCCTGCATTCTATCAGACTATAATGGAATGAAACTAGAAATCAATGATAAAATAAGAAATCCACTCCAACACCTGAAGTCTAAATAATATGCTACTGAATGAACAATGGGTTACAGAAGACATCAAGAAGGAGATTAAAAAATTTTTAGAGGTGAATGAGAACACAGATACAACATATCGAAATCTCTGGGACACTATGAAAAGCAGTTCTAAGAGGAAAATTCATTGCATGGAGTTCATTCCTTAAAAGAAGAAAAAATCAACAAATAAATGACTTAACATTACATCTCAAAGCCCTAGAAAAATAACAACAAATCAACACCAAAAGCAGCAGAAGACAGGAAATAATTAAAATCAGAGATGAAATTGAAACAAAAGAAAAAACTGAAAAAAATTGAAAGAAAGAAAAAAAGAAAACTTCAGACCAATGTCTCTAATGAACATAAATAAAAAATTCTCAAATTCTGGCAAATTGAATACAAAAACATATCAAAAAGATTGTGCACTACGATCAAGTGGGATTCATCCCAGAGATGCAAGGTTGGTTCAACATATGGAAATCAGTAAATGTAATTCATCATATCAATAGACTTAAAGATAAGAATCATATGATCATCCCAATAAATTCAGAAAAAGCACTTGACAAAATACAGCACCCCTGTATGTTCAAAACACTAGAAAAACTAGGGATAACAGAAACATATCTCAACATCATAAAGGATATCCATGCTAAGCTCCACGCCAACATCATGGCCTGGTTGATATTGGCAGTCCCTCTAAAAACTAGAACAAGATAGGGATGCCCTCTATCACCACTTCTATTTAACATAGTTCTTGAAACACTGGCCAGAGGAATTAGACAGACAAAAGAAAAAGGGATACACATAGGAAAAGAAGAACTCAAATTAGCACTATTTGCTGATGATGTGATTCTATACCTAGAAGACCCTAAAAGTTCCACCAGAAAACTTCTAGAACTAGTAAATGAATTCAGCAAAGTAGCAGGATATAAAATCAACACCCATAAATCAAAGGCATTTCTGTATATCAGTGACAAATCCTCAGAAAGGGAAACAAGGAAAACTACCCCATTTACAATAGCCTCAAAAAAAAAAAAAAAAAAAAATACTTGGGAATCAACTTAGTGAAAGATCTATATAATAAAAATTACAGAACCCTAAAGAGTCAAAGAAGACCTCCGAAGATGAAAAGATCTACCTTGCTCTTGGATAGGCAGAATTAATATTATCAAATGACCATACTTCCAAAAGCACTACACAGATTTAATACAATTCTATCAAAATCAATGACATTCTTCATAGAAATGGAAAAAGCAATCATGAAATTCATCTGAAAAAACAAGATATCCAGAATAGCTAAAGCAACCCTTAGCAGGAAGAGTGAAGCACATGGCATCACTATACCAGACCTATATTACAGAGCAATAGTAACAAAAACAGCATGGTATTGGCACCAAAACAGACTGGTAGACCAATGGTACAGAATAGAGGACACAGAGACTAACCCACAAAATTACAATTATCTTATATTAGACAAAGGTGCCAAAAACATGCATTGGAAAAAAAATAGTCTCTTCAACAAATGGTGCTGGGAAAACTGGAAATCCATATGCAACAAAATGAAATTAAACCCATATCTCTCGCCAGGCACAATACTCAACTCAAAATAGATCAAAGACTTAGGAATAAAACCAGAGACCCTGTGTCTAATAGGATAAAAAGCAGGCCCTAATCTCCATCATGGGGGATTAGGCCCCAACTTCCTTAATAAGACTCCTTTGGCACAAGAATTAAAATCAAGAATCAATAAATGGGATGGGGCTGGGGTTGTGGCTCAGCAGTAGAGTGCTCGCCTGGCATGCATGACGCACTGGGTTTGATCCTCAGCACCACATAAAAATTAAAAAAAATAAATAAAGATATTGTGTCCATCTAAAATTTAAAAATAAATATTAAACAATAAATAAATAAATGGGATGGACTCAAACTAAAAAGTTTCTTCTCAGCAAAAGAAACAATCTGTGAGGTAAAGAGAGAGCTTACATCTTGGGAGCCAATCTCTACCCCTCACACATCAGATAAATAGAGACTAATCTCTAGGGTATATAAAGAACTCAAAAAGTTAAACACCAAAAAAACAAATAACCCAATCAACAATGTGCCAAGGACCTGAACAGACACTTCTCAGAAGAGGATATACAATCAATCAACAAATATATGAAAAAATGTTCATCATAACTAGCAATTAGAGAAATGCAAATCAAAACCAATCTAAGATTTCATCTTATTCCATTCAGAACGGCAACTATTATGAAGACAAACAACAATAAATGTTGGCGAGAATGTGGGGGGAAAGGTACACTCATATACTGCTAGTGGGACTACAAACTGGGACTGGGACAGCCAATATGGAAAGCAGTATGGAGATTTCTTGGAAAATTGGGAATGCAACCACCATTTGACCCAGCTGTCCCTCTCCTCGGTCTATACCAAAAGGACTTAAAAACAGCATACTACAGGGACACAGCCACATCAATGTTTATACCAGCACAATTCACAATAGCTAAACTGTGGAACCAACCTAGATGCCCTTCAATAAATGAATGGATTAAAAAAATGTGGCATATATACAACAATGGAATATTACTCAGCAACAAAAGAGAATAAAACCATGGCATTTGCAGGTAAATGGATGGAGTTAGAGAAGATACTGCTAAGTGAAGTTAGCCAATCCCAAAAAGCCAAATACCAAATGTTTTCTCTGATATAAGGAGGCTGATTCATAGTGGGGTAGGGAGATGGAGCATGGGAGGAATAGACAAACTCTAGATAGGGCAGAGGGGTTGGGGGGAAGGGAGTGGGCATGAGGTTAGAAATGATGGTGGAATGTGATGATCATTATTATCCAAAGTACATGTATGAAGACACAAATTGGTATGAATATACTTTGTATATAACCAGAGATATGAAAAATTGTGCTGTGTATGCGTAATAAGAATTGTAATACATTCCACTGTCATATATAAATTTAAAAAATTAATTTTAAAAAATAAGGAAAAATGCTTTAAACAGCAGAAACTCAGTGAATAATTTATTGAACTAAACTACAGTTAGAAAGATCAAATGGTATTATAATCCATTCCCGTAAGATATCAAAAATTTCTATACTAATAAAGTATCAAATATGGCTCAAAATTACATTAAATTTATACCATTAATCAGGAATTTACAATTAAGCATTTTAATATTATTATTAAATTAATACTGAAAACTAGGAGAAATAATTTATCAACCTTCAAATGTTTATATGTATAATGTTTTATCTATTGGAGAAAAAGTATGCATTTCAATGTTGAAACAAATCAAGATAAGTATAACTAAAAAGGGCATCAAACCTGATTTTTGGATTGTTGCATCTTATCTCTGTGTTGATGTGCTTCTCTGTTTGATGATAGAGCAGGATCTTGCTGAACTGCTCCCACTGGAGTAGGCTACAACATAATAACAAATGGTATTGATATAGACTACTTTAGAAATCTCTTTTAAAATTGTTTCTTTAGCCACTTAAAAGGATCAAGAAAAAAATAAAAGGGAATGTTTTATAAAACATTCAACAATAAGATTCTTTTAAATGTCTAAAAGCACACTGTATTATTTAAATAAGTACTATTTAAAATTTTTTTTTAATATTTAAATGCAGAGCTGGGGTTGTGGCTCAGTGGTAAAGCACTTGCCTAGCATGTGTGAAGCACTGAATTCAATCCTCAGTGCCACACAAAAATAATAAAATATAGGTATTCATGTTCATCTACAACCAAAAAAAATAAAATAAATGCTTCTTAAAATATTAATTTTGGGGGACTGGGGACATGGCTTAAGTAGTAGCGTGCTCGCCTGGCATGTGTGAGGCACTGGGTTTGATCCTCAGCACCACATAAAAATAAAATAAAGATATTGTGTCCACCTAAAATATAAAAAATAAATATTTTAAAAATATTAATTTATACATAATATATATTGCATTAAATATAAATATATTTTATATTAAAATATTAATTTTTATATCCACAAAAGACCTTCAAGGGGTTGAGTTTGTAGCTCAGTTGTTTGCATGTAGCTCAGAGTGCTTGCCTAGCATGTGTAAGGCACTGGTTCAATCCTCAGTATCACATAAAAATAAATAAATAAAATAAAGGTATTCTGTTTATCTACAACTAAATAAACATATCTTTTTAAAAAAAGTACTTCTAATGATGTCATAACTTTTAGGTTACTTTTTTAACAAAAATGAAGATTTATTTTAATGCATAAACAGAATAAATTATTTTAATAAAATTAAAGGAATAATTTTTTTAAAATAAAACTAACAAAATCACTTATTTTCAATGTTTGAAATTTTTCAAAAGCTCTCAAATTTCAATGTATTACACAGTAAGCTAATCATGAAAATATATTATACAAAAAAGTATATCTGAATCTGGGAGCAGTGACACATGCCTATAATTCCACCAACTCAGGAGGCTAAGGCAGGAAGATCACAAATTTGAGGCCAGCCTTGGCAAGTTCAAAGCCTGCTTGAGCAACTAAGCCAGACGCTGACTCAAAAAATAAAAAGGGCTGGGGATATATAGCTCAGTGGTAAAGTACCTCTGGGTTCAATCCCCAGTACTGTTTAAAAAAAAAAAAAACTAGACTTGATATTAAGAACCAAATCAGGATGAAAAGTCAAAAATAACTCATTGCTCGAAAAAGCAGGTAGTCCAAACATAGGACTTTCACAAAATGTAAGGAATAACATAATATCACCTAAGAAATGTCCCAAAATGGCAAACAAAATGAATCCTCTTTAAAAATTACTTTTTCTCAACTCATCTAAACTGAAGGGTCCGCACTGCTGTTAGAAAGAAAATAAATACTATAAATAATGTTTTACTATATACCATACTCACCAACTGTTTACCAATCCAGTCATATTCATAATCAAACATATATCCTTTTCGATCAAACAAGTCAGTAAAAAGCTTTCTTAGGTAGTCATAATCTGGCTTTTCAAAAAAATCTAACCTTCTTACATAACGAAGATATGTTGCCATTTCTTCTAGAAAAGAAAAAAACATATTCTGACTACATTTTTATAAAACATTCAACAATAAGATTCTTTTAAATGTCTAAAAGCACACTGTATTGTAAAAACATGAAAAATGTAGCAAATTATATTTCAATTTAAAATTTTCTGAGTTTGATGACAACAAAATAAAAAAGGGAGAAGAAGAAAGGAAATAAGGACAAAAGATAAGTGAGAAGTTTAACCACTATTTTTGCTTCATTTTATTAGCAAAGATAAATATTCTACTTTATAATATTTTTAATAGAAATCTTGAGCCATAGATGCTAAAACAGCAGCTTAATAATGCATAATTATTTAATCTTTATATAGCATCATACTTAAACATCAATTTAAACATTTAAGCATCAATTTAAACATTTATTTTAAACATTGGTGGGAACTTACTTATATGAAAGCATTTGCACCAGATTGCTGGATTTCCTTTAGAATCAGTGACATACACAAATTGACCAATAGGGGATTCAAATTCCTAACCTTGGCTATGAGTGGTATTTTAACCAACTGAGCTAAAAAGGCTAAAAAAACACCTCAAATATAAAACACAAGAGCAGAGTATAAGTCTTCACTTAATTTCTGGTCAGATGAGCACAATTATTCAATTATATACAAATTTCAGCATGTCAATATAAATCCCAAATGTATTAGGTACACACTTTTTTAAAGGTCATATTTTCCAGGAGGAAAAGAAGTGGGAAGGAAGACATACAAAGCAACAGGCAAAATGGTGAGTAAATAGTAAAAATTAGTATCACCATTCCGAGTACAGAAAGTGACTATAGAGACGATGGGATATCAATTTTCTCCTACCTCTGACATGGAGACCTAGCTGCTTTTCTGCTACAATTCACAGGCAGTCAGTAAAAGAATGCTACTCATCCCAGCCCAACAGGCAACAATAGTGGTGCCAGGTGACCTTCATCACACAGTGACTCTCACTATTCCACTTTCTGGCTAATCACTTAGCTAAATTACTTAATTACCTCCATTTTCCATTCTGAATTTTATAATGACAGTCAGCCAATCTGCCTACACCTAAACTGCATCAACCAATGTTTACTTAATTTTCCATTTCCATAGGTTACAGCAAGAAAGAAAAAACATAATTGAAGTTTGCTGACAATGAATAATAAGCATGCTTTTAAAAAGGCTCAAATTATATTGAAATTATCACCACAATAATAATCCCAGCATTGTACGGGAGAACCAATTAATATTGGAGTGAGACAGGAACTCAGTTCTTGTATCTTCAAATTCAGTTCTTTTCACTTAATATTGCTGCACAAATCACAGTAGGTATTTTAGTACATTATTAATAAATTATTCTTATTTCTCAACTGATTTAGAAACTTTAAATTTTTGTTAGTTTAATTAGAGTTGCCATAAATCTACCAGGAAAAACAGTACTTGCATAAATGTATACAGCTCTCCAATACAAAATTAGCCTAAAGCTAGTAAAGTTAGTAAGATTTTACTGTACTTTGAAAACTAAATCAAGTACTACTTTGAAACTAAAATTTTGAACCTGACACTGAGAACTATGCGACTAACACTGTACACTAAAACTTTATATTTGGCATTGGTTAGCAAGTATTTTTAACTTAATAAAAGTATGCCACTAAAAAATACTACTTCAGCTGGTATTTGTTAATATTATTAATCAAGGAAATTTTCTTCTGTTAATATCATCTTGCAAAAGCAAATACACAAACTGTCCCTGTGGTCCATGCATCAATTGTTGACAACTTTTAAATCACAAATTGCTCACCTTTTTCAAGGCATGAAAAAAATGTATCTATAAACTTTAGCAGCCAAAATGAACCACTTATGGTTTTCTGTGTAGAAACACATTTATCAATTAGCATTATTTATTACCTGGAAAATTTTCACATAACACTTCTATTGGTGTAGCTCGTTTTGTATCTCCAATTTTCTGATATCTCTCTTTTAATGTGTCAGCCTAAAATGGAAAAAAAAAAATCTTAAGAATGTTGTAATTTTCAAATTATTAGGTTATAAAAACAGACCTTAATATATATATTAATATTTTATAAAATTCAATAAGGAAATATAAAAACAATTACCTTTAAGCCTTGCCAAGGAAGACTGCCTCTCAGAAAATACATGAACATATGACCTAAAGCTTCTAAATCATCTCTTCTACTTTGTTCTAAAATAGAAGAGAAACATAATTTTCACTTTTCTCTATCAGTTAAGGATGCAAGAATGAAGAACTGATTTTTTTAAATATGTGTAAACTCATTTCCAAATGTTCAATATATAAATACAAAATACAGATCTAGTACCATGTCTAAGAGGCTTTTACATAAATATTATTGTGTATTTTTAAAATATGCCATTATAACTTGTTAAATGCTATTGTAGATTTTTTTAGCTGCTTAGGTATGTATTCATGAAAATACAAGCCAAGAGAAAAGGGGTTCCATGGTCAAAGAGAGTCATGTTAAAGATTTCAAATGTGACATATTAAAGGTTCTTTAACTTTATTAAATTTATTTTACCCTCCATTTCCTAAACTTACATGAGTTCAAAATTTCCATCCCAATACTCTCCATTATTAAACACAATTAGTATTATGTGTAATATATTTGAGGAAACAATTGTGTTTGACCAACATTAACAACTCTTCCACTACAACCAAAACAATACTATTAGAACAAACTGTCATTTTCAAATGGTTGTTTTTGTTTCAGTAACAAAATGTTGGATAGCACATAGCTGAATGATAATCACAGACTGACTTAGATACTTATAGATATTTGCTGATGACATTTCAATGTTTTGTCCCTAAAGTTAAATATTAAAGATTTCTTAATGTTTTAAGATAATACAAGATGCTGACAAATAATGAGAGAGAAAAATACTTTGGTGAAGAGATGTTTCCATGCAAAATATTTTATCCAAATGAACAATCATACTATGTAAGCAATACTAAGTGCTTTCAGAAAAGCACTTTTTCAAGTATGGCTCTGAAGTAAGATCAGGAAAAAAACACTTTAATTTTTACCATGCACTATCATAACATTCTATATGTGATATCTACAACATCTGCTAAGGTTTAAAGATACATATTTTTGTTATTATTTAATCAATGTCCATCCTCCCACCAGACTACACATTGTAAAAGAGCATGTCTCTCTTGCTCATCATTCTTAAAACCAAGTATGATGGCTGGTACATAGCAGGCTCTGGGATTTTAGGTTGAGAATCATAAGAATGAAAAGTCATTCAATCAAAAAATATTTCTGAACTCCAGCTGAAAATAAAAATAATCTCTGAAACTTTTCAAAAACTCATGAGAAGGCCTACAGCTGGAGACTGATTCCTTGGGTCTAAAGTGGAGAAATGTGCATTTTTACAGCTCAGCACATGATTCTAAAGTATAGCCAGATTTGATAACCACTAGAAAAGAGACCCCCTTTGACTAAACCATAATTTGCATGATAAGAGTAAAATTGGCTAAATTTCTACACCTGCATAACTACAACCACAATCAAGAAGCATTACTAATACTGTAAATACTCTTTGTTAATCTCCTTCTCACCTACAACCTCCAGCCTCAGGTTACCACTTATCTGCTTTTGTCATTATAAATTAGACTTTATTTTTTATAGAGTTTTACATTAATGGAATCATACAGGATAGACTCGTGTATAAATTCTTTCACTCAATATGTTTTCATGAGTCATTTATGGTATTCCATGCTTCAATAGTTCTTTACTCCCCACCCCCAGGCCCATTTAATATATTTTTTTAATTTTTATTATTTGTTCTTTTTAGATATATATGACATTAGAGTATATTTTTCATATTATACACACATGGACTATAAATTATTCTAATTGGGATCCCATTCCTGTGGTTGTATATGATGTGGAGTTTCATTGGTTGTGTAAAAACATAGGAAAGTTATTTCTGATTCAGTGTACTATCATTCCTATTCCCCTTTGTTTAATCCAGTGAACTTCTGCTGAACAGTACAGCACAATATATTTAACTATTCATTACTGATGGCCTCTGAGGAGCTTCCAGTTTGAAGCTACTGTGGAAAAAAGCTGTTACAGATATTCTTACAAAAGTTTTTGTGTGGATATATATTTTCATGGGTGAAATTATGAGGTGAGTATTTATGTATGGGTGTTAGGCACAGTATCATGGCACCTTATGGTAAATGTAGGTTTAAATTTATAAGAAAATACAGAACTTTTTTTTTTTTAGACATTGATGGGATTTTATTTTGTTCATTTATTTATATATGGTGCTGAGAATCGAACAAAGTACCTTACGCATGCTAGGCAAGCGCTCTACCATTGAGCTACAGCCCCAGCTCCACAGAACTGTTTTCTAAAGAGATGTGTCATTTCATATGCCCAATAATATACAAGAATTTCAGTTGCTTTAAAGCTTGTACAACATTTAGTGTACTTGGTTTTTAAATTTTTAGCCATGTTAGTAGCTGTGAAATATTAGCTTATTGTGATTTAATTCACATTTCATTGGTGGACTGATGTTTCATTGTTACTACTCATCATCTTTTTGTGAAGTGTTTGTTCAAGTATTTTGCTCATTTTGAAAATGAGAATGGCTGGGGTTGTGGCTCAGTGGTAGAGCGCTTGCCTAGCATGTGTGAGGCACTGGGTTCAATCCTCAGCACTGCATATAAATAAATACATGCATACATACATACATACATACGATAAAGATCCATCAACAACTAATAAAATATTTTTTAAAAAAGAAAATTAGATTACTTGTCATAAACTTGTAATAGTTCTTGTTATACTGTAGATACAAGTCATTTTCAGATGAAATTTCGCAAATACTTTTTGAGACTACAGATTACTTTTCATTGTTGTATTTTTTAAAAAAATATTTATTTTTCAATTGTAGTTGGACAAAACACCTTTATCTATCTATCTATCTACCTACCTACCTATCTATTTATTTATTTATATGTGGTGCTGAGGATCAAACCCAGGGCCCCGCATGTGTTAGGCAAGCGCTCTGCCACTGAGCCACAACCCCAGCCCCTCATTGGTGTATTCTTAATGCATCGTTAAAAGAAGTTTTACATTTTAATGAAGTTCAATGTATCAGGTTTCTCTTTGTATTCATGCTTTTTTATGTCCAATAAGAACTCTAACTACTCTCCAGATTATAATTATATAATATATAAACATAATTATATATTATAATGTATATTATATTTTCTCCTATTATTCTATTAGTTTTACAGTTGTGGTTGTTACATTTCAAGTTATCCATTTTGAAGGTTTTTGGTTTTAATTTTGTTTTGCTTGTAGTGTGGGGTAAAAGTTTAGATTCATGTTTTCCAATGTTGATACCTACTTATAATGCTTATTGACAAGACTATTCTTTTTCCTTGAGTTGCTTCAGCATCATTCTCACAAATCAATTGACCTGTCTATGGTCAATTTTAGGACTTTATATTTTGAACCACTTATCTATGTCTGTATTCCTATCATTACTATTGAAAATAAGTAAAAGAAAGGAGAAAATAATAATAAAGGAGAAAATTAACAACCAAAAAACAGACAATCAATAGGAAAAAAACAATGAAGCCAGACATTGTGATGCTCGCCTTTACTCCCAATGACTCAGGAGGCTCAGGCAGAGGATTGCAAGTTCAACTCCAGTCTCAGTGACCTAATAAGACCCTGTCTCATAAAAAATAAATAAATAAATAACTAGAAGGGCTACAGGGAGGCTGCATTCTTTGTTGCTCTGTGACCTGGGATTCAAGCAGTAGGAATACTATTTCTCTACAAGTTATTAGAAGACCCGACAGCTGCTCCCGCGCAGGAATCCTGGCCACTGTGCCCTCACAGGTCCACAGGACTCAATGTCAGTGCAGGACCCCTGGCTATAAACCCAAACAGGAATTCTACAGTAGCTCCCACACAGGACTTCCCACCACAACTCCAGTGTGGAGCCCCATCAACCAACATGGGGCTCTCCTGGTCGCCTCCATCCTGGGATACTGCAACCAATACCATACTTCCCTACACGTAGTAGTCTGCACCTGGGGATACTGGACAGGGTCTGGAGACAGCCAACACTGCACACCACAGAGCTACATCTCTGAGCACACCACCACCCGGCCCGACCCAACCTGACACCCCATTGCTGAAAGCAGCTGCCTACATCTTGGGACACCTTTGTCACCATCTTTACTTGGGGCAACTTCCAGCTAGGAACACTGACAGGGGCTTAGAAGCATTATCAAGGTACCTATAGTCCCCAACTTTCCCCTCTCCCCAGCAACCACTAACCAGGCACAGTGCTGTGGCTACGCAGCCCACTGTAGCTCACAAAGCCTGGCCCTAAATTGCCCAATATAAAAGAGCTCTCCATAACAGGTGTGCAACCCCCAGAGCGTAGCCCAAAAGATCTTCAGAGAGAAGGTTCTGGAATGGGAGGTAGAAAGGGAAGGGGTGAGAGATATACAGTTTAGAGACTAAATTAGAGACCAGGAATTTGAGGTCTACAGGAGATACAAGGAGATAAGAAGACCAGGTACCCACATCACACCAGCAGACCCCGAAGGAGATCCTTGGGGTGCAGTCTCCCACTGGGGACCAGCAAGTGCTATACCCCACCTGCAAGAGCTCTGTCCCCAAGACCAATCCTTCTACCCTAATAATCTAACCATTCTGAGAGTGAAAATACCAGCAAACAACAGAAAACCTCGCCTATTGGATGAAAAGGAAAGCAGGAAAAAAACTGAATTCCAACAAAAACAATCCTTGTATTTTCCTTTGAAATGTTTTGTTTCTTTCCTCTTTTTTATTTCTTTCTTTTCTCTATCTCATCTCTCACCCTCACATCCCCAACATTTGTGAAACCAAGTACTTTTCATGAATTAGGATACCAAGGACTTGGATGCCTGAATAGTATATTACGGTTGTGTTGTATATTATTTTATCTTCTATTTTAACATTTTTTATTTTTCTTAATTTTTATGTTTGTTTACTTTCTCTATTGTCTCCCCCACTTACTTGTTTCCCCAAAATCACGTTCTCTCTTTTAACCTGCTAATAGCCAACATTTTTAGATTCCTCTTTCATGCTTCCTAAGATCTAATAACTGTATATGCTCTATATCCTACCTCCTTAACATCTCATTCTA